TGGCCATGCAGATCCTCACGGGGTGCGACGAAGTCCTGGAGAAGCTGCAGCAAGTCACCACTGCCCTGATTAACAGCGACGTCCCAGACAGAGAGCAGAGGTAAGGCCCCCCCCTGTCAAAGCTGCTTCCAGAAGGTGAAAGTGCCTCCAACTAGGAAATTTTGGTTACAGATTCAGGTGTGGCTGAACAACGTATAGAATTCAAGCCAGAATTATTTCTATTAGGTAGTATAACAGAAGGCTAGAGCAAAGGGTCAACATCGTCTTTCCCCCAAAAATAAGACAGGGACTTATTTTCTTTTGAGCCCCGAAATAAGCACTTGGCCTTCTTATTTTTATTTATTTTTATTTTTTTTAAGTGTGAAAAACCATCATAAATCGTGTTTTTCAGTGCCATTGTAACTTTGGGATAGGCAAGCCACAACAATATATTCAGCTTGTCCTATTTTTACAGTGGAATTAAAGAGCAACAGTATACAAGTGCAGTCACGTTACTTTAAAATCTAACACATACTACATATCCCTCCCTCCCCCCTCCCCCTTAACACCCCAAGCTTGGTTGTTTTCTTGATGAATTTCATTAGCAAAGTAGGTAACATCATCAGTGCTAGAAGGAAGTAGGGTTTATGAAGAGCAGCAGCAGCAGCAGTTGTTCTGTGAGGTCCTTGGTGCTCTTCGAGCATGGTGGTTTTCTTGCAGACATCTCATTACCCAATTGGGTAACATTTTCAGAGCTAGAAGGGAGTGGGGTTTACGGAGAGGAGGAGGAGAAGGACTTTATGGCTGTTTTGCAGTCTTCAGTAGAATATGATGGATATTTTGAAAATCTTCTCCTATATATCTACTAAAATATTGATATCTATACATACACTGACATTGGGGCTGTGCCATTCTTTCTGTATTGTGTCCCATGGCATGATCATAAAAGCCCAGACCAGCACAATATCAATGAGAAAGAAAAACAAGAAATCCAAGAAGAAACCAGCATGGCTGCACAAAGATCTCTCTGACAAATTGAAAGTTAAAAAGGACAAGTAAAAAAAAAAGGGAAAAGGGATACACAACTAAGGCAAAATATCAGAAGACAGTCAGAATCTGCAAAGACGAAGTCAGGAAAGCAAAGGCTCAGATGAACAAAGATTTGCAGCAAAAGTCAGAAAATAAAAAACGTTTCTTTCAACATATAAATAACAAGAAAAAAAATCAAGGAAACAGTTGGTCCAATAAGGAGAGAAGATGGAGAGAAAGTTACAGGCAACGGAGATAAAGTAGAGCTGCTTAACTCATTCTTTGCATCAGTCTTCATGCATAGCCCAACCTATCAAAAAAATAAGTGTAAAAGATGGACTGGAAATAAAATTTAAAGTAAGCAAAAAAAAGTAAGAGAATACCTGTCTAAGCTTGATGAATACATATCACTGGGACCTGACGGATTACACCCCAGAGTTCCAAAGGAGCTGGCAGATGTCATCTTACAACCACTGTACCACATCTTTCACAAATCCTGGAGCACCAGGGAACTACCAGAGGACTGGAAAAGAGCTGATGTGGTTCCCATCTTCAAAAAAGGGGAAAAAACAGATCCAGAAAACTACATACCAATCAATCTTATATCAATACCTGAGAAAATACTGGAAAAGATAATAAAAAAACAGATCTGCCAACACAGGGGTGGGTTCCTGCTGGTTCCACCGGTTCTATAGAAGAGGTTCCACAAATCTACCATGCTGTTTAGAACCGGTTCCAGAACCCTCCCCCTGCCCGTCCGCACCATGCTTGCCCCGCCTGCCGCCCACTGATTGGCTGGCTCACCAATCACCCCACCTGCCTCTAAGAGCCCTATCTAAACCCACTTACCTTTTTTCCTGCTTGGCTCTCTATTGCTGCCTGCCGAGGAGGTAAATAAGCTGCAACTAAGCGTGAGACAGGGGGACAGTGATGGGAACTTACGTGGTGTGGTCGGTCTCCTAGGACCTCCTAGGCGCCGGCCGCAACGTGCAAACTACCGCCCGTTGCCCCGTGCTCAGCAAAGCAAATCTGGGGAGGTCCTTTGCTGGTGGCCAGGCGTTCTAGAACCTGGCCACCAGCAAAGGACTTCCCCGGACTTGCTTTGCTGAGCATGGGGTGATGGGTGGTAGTTTGCTCGGGCAGCAGAGAACGGAAGGAGATAGCGTAGCTGAAGATGAAGGAGCCTGCAGCCTCCTTCATTCCTTCCCTCAGCGCCCACCAAAGTGTTCTTCCTGCTCGGCTGCCATCTCTGCCGCCACGCCCCCTCTGCATGCCCGCCCAGGCTCCCGCCTGAGTGGTAGTGAACGATGGTGGTGTGGGGTGGCTGGCGGAAGTGGCTACTGCTCCTGGGCTAGCTGTGGGTAGCGCTGCTCAGCGGGCAGTGCCCCAACTCCCACCACCACCACCATTGCGCCACCCCACGTTCCTTTTCTTCCCGCCGCGGCCCCCCTCCATGGAAAACATAGGCATGCCTACACCCCGCGCAATTGCAACCCAGAGCAGGACCAAATCCCCTCTCCCAACTGGCCCTTCCTCCTTCGGAAGGCTTAAGAGGGAAGCTTCTGCAGAAGTCCGGATGAGTGAAAACAAGTTCCTGCCGTTACGAAGTCTCCGATGCTGTAATTTTACGAGCTGTGCATATGCGCCTATGTTTTCCATGGCGTGGAGTAGCGGCGAGGCTCTGCATGGCCAGCGATGCCTCCAGAGGCCATCCAGGAAGACGAGAAATGCGAAAGGGACTCCGCCCCCTGCGGATGGCCTCTGGAGTCATTGTCAGCCCCGCAGCGCCTTGCCACTGTTCCACGCCATGGAAAACAAAGGCACGTGCGCACAGCTTGTAAAATTACAACCTCGGAGACTTCGTAACAGTGGGAACTTGTTTTCACTCACCTGGACTTCTGCAGAAGCTTCACTCGGGAGCCTTCCAAGGGAGGAAGGGCCAGTTGGGAGAGGGGCTTTGGTCCTGCTCCGGGCTGTAAGCTTCCCTCCGAAGTCTTGGGATGTTCTGGGGAGCCCCCCAGGGAAAACTACCACTGCCAGATATTTTTAACCATATATTTTGGTCCTATGACTACAGAATGCTGCAAAATACTATAAATGTAGGCCAGTTGTTGAGTGTTTCAAGTGTGATTGGAACACTCAACAAGGTGACCACAGTATGTGAGTGTCTGTATATGTGTGTGAGAGAAAGAGAGTGAGTGAGACAGACAGGCAGAGAGAGACAGATATACAGACAGAGGCACAGAGAGAGACAGATATGGAGGGAGAGAATCAGAGACAGACTGACAGACACACAGAGAGAGATAGAGAGACAGACAGAGAGGGGGAGGGAGGGAGAGAGAGACAGACAGACAGAGAGACACACACAGAGAGACAGAGTGAGTGATTAAATGAATGAGAGACAGACACACATACACACTTATACACACAGAGTGACAGAGAGAGAGGAAGGGAGGGGAGAGAGGGGGAGAGAGATAGAGACAGACAGAAAGAGAGAGAGACACAGGGAGAGTGAGTGAGACACACCCACTCATGGAGAATGACAGAGATGGGGGGAGGAGAGAGAGACAGAGAGATACAGAGAGAGAGAGAGAGAGAGAGAGAGAGAGAGAGAGAGAGAGACGCACACACAGAATGACAGAGAGACACAGAGAGGGAGGGAGGGAGAGACAAAGAACTACAAAGAGAGATAGATAGACAGACAGACAGACACAGAGAAAGACAGAAAAAGATAGAGAGAAAAAAAAAGAGAGAAAAAGTGGAAGAGAGATGAAAGAAAAAAAGAAGGAAGGAAGGAAGGAAGGAAGGAAGGAAAGAAAGAAAGAAAGAAAGAAAGAAAGAAAGAAAGAAAGAAAAAGAAAGAGAACTTATGACCACAATTGAGCCCAAAATTTTGGTTGCTAAGCAAGAGCGTTGTTAAGTGAGTTTCACCACATTTTCCAAGTTGACCATACCCACCCGGTCACATGACCACCAAGACACTCTCACAAAACAGGCCACACCTGCAGAAGAAGTTCTAAAAAAATTTGAAACCCACCATTGTGCCAACATCTGGAAACGAGTAAAGTAATAACTAGCAGTCAACAAGGGTTTGTTAAAAATAGATCATGCTAAACAAATCTTATTCCATTCTTCAACATAATGACTAAATTAGTAGACCAGCGAAATACTGTGGACATAATATACTTAGACTTCAGCAAGGCATTCGACAAAGTAAATCACAACCTACTTCTTGGTAAACTAGAAAAAAGTTTGATAGATAGCATCACCATCAGATGGATTGGTAACTGGCTGACAAACTCAATGAGTAGTCCTTAATGGGTCTACATCTACATGGAGAGAAGTAAGCAGTGGGTTATCACAAGGTTGAATCTTAAGCCCAGTACTTAGATGGGAGAGCCAATTACAGCCTTATCACGAGCCGATAAGGCTGTCAGAAACAATCTGGCCAACCTTCACACAGTCTTTGTAAAGTCCAAAGCCCACTGAGGACATCTCTGGGTAAACCTTATTGTAATAATAATCTATCCATCTTGTTGGGTTATCATCAACCACTGGGATTCTGTTTTACTCACTCCTGTCTACCTGGAATGCCTGCAAAAGGGGGCCATGGCAAAACACAAAATCCAAACTTGGCTTGGCGTGATATCCTCTAATTCAAATCAACGGAGGTTTGTTGCAAAAGCGGGACTCTCAAGTACAGCACACAGGCAGTCCTCAACATAAAACCTTTCATTTAGTGACTGTCCAAAGTTACAACAGCATTGAATAAAGTGGCATGACTATTTTTCACATTTATGACCATTGCAGCATCCCCCGTATCACGTGATCAAAATTCAGGTGCCTTGAGACCGACTCATATTTATGACAGTTGCAGTGTTCCAGGGTCACATGATCCCTTCTGATGAGCAGAGTCAATAGGGAAGCCAGATTCACTAAACAATCATGTTACCAACTTAACATCGGCAGTGATTTACTTAACAGCTGTGGCAAGACAGTCACAAAATGGAAGAAAATTCACTTAACTATTGTTTCGCTCAGCTACAAAAATGCTGGGTTGAATTATGGCCATAAATTGAGGACTGTTTGTATTCAATCTGACTATGGAAACCCTGAAGAAGCAGGGGAGAGTTTAAGAGAAAAATCCTCAGCTCAAAATCCACATTGACCAAACAGTTGGAACTGAAATATGGAGTCACAGGATCTACTGTGCATTTTTCCCCAGCTAGCCCACCGTTGGAAGAAAAATCCAGTCTGGTTCCAATCCAGAAGAAAGACGCTGGAAATAAAATGGAGGCCAGCTGCAGGAAAAAAAGATCTCTGTTTATTTGGATGCCAGAAACTACAGTGACAATAGCATATTTCTGGGGTGGCTGAAAAAATGGGGTTGAGACAGGTGGGCTTTTAGACATCCTTTGGGCTTTGCGATTGAGCTGCCTGTTCCTGAGTGTGTCCTTTAATATTTTAATGGCTGTTGCCAGATTCCTATGTGGTCACATAAGGGTCAGGGCTGGGTCTACAGGCAAAAGGGGAAATGCAAATCCTACATGTTTCTCTGAGCTAATCTCTGGCTTGCCTAATTTGGAGTCTCTTTGCTTATAAATAGATTGGCCCAGTCTTTCTAAATGGATACACAATCTCCATTCCAAAAGACCCACCTCTTCTACTGGAGAGTGGCATGAAGAGTGGGCTGCCTTGTGCCTTTGTTAAGATTTGTCTCCATTTCTCCTTTGGGGGAAATATTCTATCCTGCCTCTTTTTAATATTAAGAATAAAGAATATTTTAATCTCGGCAGGAGGGGTAGCTTCCCACAACACTGAAAACAGCATTCGGTATTATTCTTCTGTAGAGGGATAAAAGCAGAGACAGTGGCCCTCAGCTACCTGCCCCAGTGGCTGAACTGAACCTTTAGATGAATGAAGTATTTCGATCAGAGGTGGGTTTCAAATCCCAGTGCACCGGTTCGCTCATGCTTGCACATGCATAGAAGTGTCCAGGCAAGTGGGCGGAGCCTCCCACCACCACCCTACCGGTTCAGCCAATCCGAACCGGGAGCAACCCACCTCTGATTTCGAAGCAGAAACCCAAAGGCTCACCACAGTGATCTAAATGTGGTTGAGTATTTGCTATTCAGACCTCCAGATGTGTCCTCCAAAACACAGCTACAGTAAAAACGTTGGGATCCGAAAAAGGTGAGGGCTTAATGCATCCCTGCTGTTTAGAGCAAGATCAGAAATTGATTCCTCCAATTTCTAGAATCATTATATGAAGTCAGGTGCAACTGAAAGAAAGTCCTTTTTCTCCATAAATTGTCCTTTACTGCCATCTGGTGCCAGCCAACTGGAAGTTGGCCATAACAGAATAACAGAGTTGAAAGGGCCCTTGGAGGTCTTCTAGTCCAATGCCCTGCTCAAGCAGGAGACCCATATCATTCCAGGCATGTTGGTGTCCAATCTCTTCTTCCTGCAGCTAAAATCTTTTGGGTCCAGGTGACCCAAAACTCCCAGTGACTTCATGGATACATTGATGGTCCTAATTCCCTGGCTCAGTTGGTTGGAGGGCCTCCTCTGGAGACAGCATCTGGACTCTGTTTCCAAAGATTGCAGAGTTGTCTGAGGAGATCTGAAAGATATGAGAAGGAGACCACCTCCACATATTGTGGGCGACTCTCCCAGAAGAGGTATTGTG